CGTGAATTTATCGAACATGAATTTATTGATAACTTCTTCGACTCCAAGCGCTACCGACGTATCAAATCGTGAGACAAAAATATTTGTAGATGATTTGCCGTCATCGCACGACGCCTCATTGTGGTCGATCGCGTCTGCAGGGACCAGCCCAAACACGTCACCTATGAGCCCCCCAAAAGAAACGACGATGATCTTCCCTTCGGAATTAAAAGCCCATCCTGCAGACTACCATAAAATTCAAGTAAGTATGCACCGTTTACTGTTCTTTTGGTATTTAGCAATTACACACGAATAATTCAAAAATTTATTGATAATATTGAATGTTTAAAAAAGCTGACATATGTGCATAGGAAATTTATAGGGTGTTCAGAAAGAATAATCCAATTTGACATGTCTGTATGTCAAACACTAACATAGATATCGTAATCGCAATTTAACATGTACGCGTCACGTGGTCCTTCAGCTCAGACCTTGAATCGACCGCCCAAAGTTTACTTTGAAATTAGTTGTCACTTAATTGCAGTTCAAAAATATCTTAGTGGCGAAAAATTTCGGTGAGTTCACTTGGTGCTGCAACTTATTAGTCGTTCATAATTAATTAGACGTGATATTTTCATGGTTTGTTTGAAATTAATTTTGCTCATATTTTGTTTTACTTGTGTCAGAATTTATAGTAGAAAGCTAACATTTCCCATGCCATATCTGCACAATCTATGGTTCCACAAGACCTTCAATAAAACTCGTGGAATTCTGAGTGTCGAAAAAATCGCCTAAGCCTAAGGCTTAACATATGTATATATAATTACTAAATTCTTTGGCTGAAAGGAAACTTGATACGTTTCTTGATACTTTTTAAAAGTTTTTCATTACGTCCATGTTTGGATGTACGGGAAATGTTTATTGCTAGGAAGGCAAATTTGTCGCACATTTCAACGAGCGTGTCCTGAGTTACAGAATCCACTGCTGTTGTTATGCCGTTACTTGGACCATTGATTTATGTAGTTAGTGGCTGTGTATAAACGGAGTCTTTAGTAAGTACCCCCCAATAAAAATCTTAATACCGTATGTTCTGTGATATTGAAGGCCATAAATGTAAGGATGAATCATTTTGCCCAGTGCGGACGATGTATGGGTTACACATTCTGTTTAAAAATTCATGAACTTCTTGAAGGCAAAGTGGTGGCGCTTTTCCTGGTGGTAGATGAAGTTGATCGTATCCGTCCTTAATTGCAAGAATGATAATTCTCAAGCTTATCGAGATGTGCCTTTCCTGTAACAGTGTTCTCAAGAAAGAAGAAAAAGTCTACCCTATGCTTCTTTGTGAAACGGCACGAAATACATACATAAAATGATCCATAAAATGATCCATCATCATCAATGATCCAAAATACATAAAAATGATCCATCATCTCGCCAATAACAAAGTTACAAAACTCCACTCGTCGGTGTTTGTCATCTTAGTGAAGAGGTTGCAGTAGCTGCAAGTCTGTATGGTTTCTTGACTTACCGTTGACGCTACACGAACACGTCGATAGGACATCGACAGCAGGCTGAGCAGTTGAACTGTTTCTTGGAATTGTTCAGACCAACGTTTTACGCTCTGTGATGTAGGAAGAACAAAAGCATATGTTCAATTCTTTCTTCTCGAATATACTTTTTACGTATGTATTATGTTCGCCTGGGGCATGCGTGTAATGTACAGTGCACCCTTGGTCGATCTAGTTAGCATCGTAAGTTTCAGCTGACTGCGGGATTTAGCGCAAGAAGGAAATATTTAGTACGTGTGTTTTAATTCTGAAGGTTCGTTTGAAGATGTGAAACTGTTTTAATGTCGTGACCTGTATTGAAATTAACGATTTTACCCGTTCGTCATAATTTATGTGCAATAATGATTTTATGTCGACATTTTTATAAATCTATTTTGTTACAGAATCCGATTTTTTCAAGAGAGAACGACGGGAAGTCGTGCATTCAAGCACTTCATATAAGCGAATATACGTAACACCATATTTGGTACGAAATTCCACACTGAGTAGTAATTGTAGACTCCCACTATAAATAGAACATACAAAGCTTCTCAGGAACAAACCAACGGAAACCATGACAAACTTGAAAACTTTCTCTTTCAAAAAATGCGTTGTTGGTGCATCTAATTCAAATAAACAAATAGTTATGATTTTATGAAACTGGATAATTTAATTTGATACACCATGGACTTGTCTACCCGCATTTGCTGAATTGAATTCCACCAGTGAACGGAAAAGCGTAGTGATTCATCAAAATGAGCTTAAAATGAATATATAATACGTATACTAGTTTTCATATATTTCTTGTTCAAACCCTTCGATGCATCGCTTGCGACGCATAATTATCATACGTTAATTGTGATCATTTAAATCATTTATTTTTTCATGCAAATCATTATACTTATCGTGCTCGGTCAACAAATTAGAAAAATCAACGAGTTATATTTTCATAACATATATTAAAAATTCACAGTGCGTTAGTTAGTCCGCTATCAGTGTGTGAAAATTTCTTTCACAGTTACGTAATCAGAACCTTTAGGATAAAAGATCAATCTGCGATTCTAAAAAAAGTGGCACCATATGCTCGTAAAAAAGTGGTAACATTTTTGGTCCTAATGGTGGACCTTATTAGCTGAGGCCGCTAAGCTTCGTTAAACCAACCATACATGTGAAGTCGAGAGGTTGTCAAGTTGCTGAAGGAGCACTCTTTTGTAATGCAGCAGAAGTTATGATAGTATTTTTAAAGTATCACATAGAAAATTGTATAGGATAACATAGTCGGCACCCATTCATTATATATATGTATATGAAAACAAAACCTGCCGTGGCACTGTATATTTACCTCAAAGAAGGGGATCAAACTCTTTAAATTAAACAAAAATAATAAAGAACTTCATGCATAAAAGAATCCACCGTGCGTTCTCTTCAGCATCATCTATCGCCTATAAAGGATGTTAGTGCAAAACTTATTATCTACATGATTCTTTGGCTCGGACACGAAATTTCGAGCCTAATTTCTCTGTGATGAAATTACAGAGAATGACGAATACAAATTAAGCGTGGCTCAATGAGATCACGTTGAAGTGACCGAAAACCTTAATGTATAATGAGAAGTATCGTAACTCTTTCCTTTATTACATAAAAGAATAGTTTCAAATAAAACCGCTATGCTTGGATTATCAATGACGGTTATAATAAAATGAATATTTTATGATACAAAAATAGCAATCAGTTGAATCGAAGAAATATTCAGCTTTATACAGTTTAATGTTAGAGTGCCACATAATGCCGCCTCTAAAAATTTAAAACTCCATACTATCTTAAAGAGAATTGGTTGTGGCTGTCGGAAGCATGTCTAACATGAAAAACCATAGGAACATTGGTAGAATTAACAAACAGTACGATTTTAATTTAAGAGGTCATCCCCCGTGCTTGTTATTAAAATTCATTTGAATACTTACGATTTTATTCTCCCTTCAATGTTCAAAATTTGTTAGTTCTAAAAATATATGTAAATATTGTCAAGTACTGCTGTAGTCCCCTCAACGCTGATAATCCATCCGTACGTACGTGGTGTGATTGACGTCGTCGAACGATGGCGAAAGGGGTCCAACAAAGGGGTCCAACTTCGTAAATTATCATATTTTTTTTTCTGTGGGCAAGCATGCCAGAGCTAGGTCATAGTAGCCTAGTAAGATAAGCGTTTAAAGCCATAGCAGCCAAAAATTCGCAGCCAGTGCTTAAACCAGTCACACTTCTAAAAATGACTTGTCATGAAGTACGGTTTTCATGCCTTCAGCGTAGTCTGTGGCGTATTAGCTCCTAGGCTCTGTTCATTTAATGCAGGATAAGGTTAAGCCCAAGGACTAGCTTAATTGTTGGGTTTGTGACCCACAACTATGTCCCAGCCTCTCTAATTACCTGGTCTGCGCGATATCGGTGAGTTGGTCATCCCTGACTTCCTGGGAACGCAACCGTAAGCCACAAATTAAACTCTCCCACTAACCCTAGAACCGGTGCCTAGACTTAGCATGCAATAGCCACATTTAGTCCCAAAGCTAAAAGCCGGATATCCCGCAGAATTTTCGTTAATCAGCCCCGTCAATTGACTGGGTTAATCCTGGCCGACATTATAAATATACGCCCACCATGCCATACTTCTCATTATATAAACTAATATTGTGACGGGAGAAATATGCTACATTAACATTTATCTATTGGCTTTCGCCCGTGAGCTCTACCATTAAAACAAAACAAATATCACAATAGTATAAGGAGGCACGAATTATATTTAATTGCATGATAGAAAGGCAACACATTATGGTACTGTTACTAAACTTGCAATTTGAACTCACATCATTACACCGTCAAGCAACAGATGCAATCCGGACAGCTGGTGATTTACAGAAGACACGTTTAGAGAATTGGCGGGAATGTCTGTAATACCCACCCAGTTACCATAATAGTTGAAGCACTCTGCCGATTAGTAAAAATTTACTTCCCAAAGAAAGGTATCCACATTTTTCATCTGCTTATAGAGAGGTGCGGTGGCTTGAAACCAATTGCTAAGCGTTCCAAGCGCGGCCAATATTTGGTCCTCTACGATGTACATGACTGTACCTCATACGTGACACCGTCTCACAACCTTCTTGCATGAAGCCAATAGCAGGGTTTACCTGCACACTTTCTTGATTTCTCCCCTTAATTATATATCTTTGAGCATTAAACTCCACACGGTACTATGCTCTGAAAGATGCTTGCATCAGCCAAGGAATGTGAAGTGAGAATTTAACTTGGGCATTGTTCAATTCCAAGAAACTAACTACTAGAAAGCAATTGCTTTCTAGAGTTAGATAGCAAATTTCGTGAATAGGTCTCTCACGGAACCTTTTCGTGGATAAGGAAGTGGGCAAACTGGGTGTGACTCAATATGATTGTGGATCAGTTGTTTTTTTTTTGGTTGAAACTGTGTTACTCTCAGAATCCTTCCATATTGCGTGAATGGGGTTGTAAAACGCTTCATTTTTCATAGAACTTGGCTGAAGAGAGTTCAACCTCAGAAAACCAATCGTCGAACACAAACGGGACAACCACTATGTCAACCACTACAGAAAGTTCAACAGAGACAACGGCGACAGTAACAACTGAACAAGGAACTACAACTCCACCACCCTGCGGTAAAAATGAAATTTAATATCGAATCATGAAGTTCGAATGGAGTGGATCAATGCATGTTCTCTTACATTTGTTATTTCACGAAGTTTTTCATCGTTAACTTCACCACTTGATTAATTAAGAGACAATACGAATCAAGCTCATTGTTGCGACTTTCCTTCCCATTTAGTTACGACACCTGCTGTGAATGAATTAAAGGTTTTGGATACATCGAGCTTCAGCATTACGCTATCATGGACGGTGCCCAAGGTGTCATGCGAGATCCAAATGTATCGTATCAGCTACACCGGCTACATTCTCTGGGGAAACCAAAGCGAAGTGAACGGCCTGACCGACACAATAAACTCTACAGAACCTAACGTCAAGTATACGGTGACGGACCTGCAGCCTTACGCCTATTATAATTTTTCTGTGGTGTTTGTGACTGAAGCTGGCGAAAGCGAGCCTGCGAGTGTAGACGGGAAAACAGAGCAAGCAGGTGAGAATAGATAACTCAGCAATGATTTGAATTTCAAAGTTTTTCTCATTTGCCATCCGTGTCGCCCATCGGGTGCAAATACAGCAGCTCTTTCTCTCCAATCAATGACCATGCTTGCATTTCACTTGAAAATTACATATATGACCTGAATATGTTGATACAATATCTTCATACCTTCTCGACTCTTATGTAACTTTTAATTCTTACAGTAAATAATACTTGATACTTGTTGTTTGCACTTCAGCCCCAAGTGAGCCTCGTAAAGTGACGGCAGTATCGAATAGCTCTAGAACTATTCAGGTGTCGTGGACGCCGCCTGAGCAAGAGAACGGCGTGTTGTTGAACTACAGCATAAGCTGGATAAATGATTTCCAAAACTATTCTGCGAGCGTAGGAGATACTGAGTACAACATCACCTCTCTTGAACCCTGCGTTGATCATTTTATTACCGTGGAAGCTCAAACGTCTGCGGGTTACGGACCTCCTGGAAGCACAACAGCAACCACACAAACCGACGGTAAGATGATCGCGTATGTTCGGGTCCATTATTTCTCTAATTTACTAAATGCATGGGAACACGCGTATATCTCTGTGAAACAGTAACTCATCTCAAATCAACGATTTTCTGTTAAGTTCATATGTAATCACTGAAATGATTGAGCATATCAGGAGATGCGCCAGCTATCTATGCCAATACCCCCATTCTTTGATAGGTAAACAACCTCTTATTGAGTTCAGGCGTCGTCGTCTCCAATCATGAATATGTTCACGTAATTGTTAATACAAGATTTGCAGCTCCGAATAATCATGTACAAAATGGCCCCGAGTTAAAATAATGCGCTCTTCTATTTATTGGTAAGTCTATAAGATACTGCAAGAGATCGCACTATGTCTGCTTAAGTAGTAAAAAAATTAACTGGCAAAGGGTAGTGATGGAAGAGCATCAGGTCATGAATTCATAAGGATTTTACTGAGCAGTTCCTCCCGAAGTGACGGATCTCATTGAAAAGAATGTGACGAGCACCAGCATTACGCTGTCGTGGTCGACGCCCGACACTGAGTGCGACATCACAGGCTACAACGTCAGCTACTACGGCAAGGTCCTGTGGGGGGACGGCAACTGGATGAATGGATCGAGATCTGTAAACGGGAGCCAAGAATATGTCGAGATTGACGGTCTCACTCCGTACACACAATACACGATCACGGTTTTGGCCTCGACTGAAGCGGGGCCTGGAAAGCCTTCTGAGAATCTAAACATTACCAGTGACGAAGCGTGTGAGAATTCAATACCTATTACGATGTGGTCATTCAAAGAGGTTTTGAGTTTTGGGTATATTGTTTATTTATTAATTCATCATTTATAATCAACGGAATAGACCTGCTGATATAGATAGTCCTAATTTGTATCATGAAATTTGAAGTTAATGAATAATTAATTTAATTGACAAAACAGAAAACAGTGTAATTAATAATTAAGCGCGAAAAATAGAATAAGTAAAGTCACCTCATTCTTTGGTTCACATGGTTCCATAATTTTTGCCTGTTTTTTAGTCTGGTAATTGGAACGATTTACAAACAAATACATAAAATGAGTCGGCACAATAGCTCTCTTATTCATCAGGAGGCAAAAATAAAACGTCGAAGTTAGTTCATTCTCTGCTAATCTTATAATACTGTTTATAGAAACAAGATTCAAATCCGTTATTTTGTTATCCTGCAGATCCTTCTGAAGTTCGTAACCTGATGGCAAGCTCTACGAGTCCAACAAAGATATTTGTGTCGTGGGTGGTCCCTGAAAAAGAGAATGGCATTTTGGGCGACTATCTGATAACTTGGGATGACAGATCAGGAGATTATCAATCAGCTGAAGTCAACACCATAAGCTTCCTCATTGAAGGCCTCATCCCTTGCGTCCTTTATAACATTACCGTCAAGGCTCAAACTGGGGCAGGCTATGGGGAGGAGAGCTACATCAACGCTACGACTGATTCAGATGGTGACAATCATCTCATTGTGTTCTAAAATTAATTCCGAGAATATTTCGGGCAATGTTGCTAATTCAAGACATTGTCCGGAAAGGAAAAGGGTGTCAATTAACAGTGGAAGAATGAGCGACTGGTTTAATGTTACTGCCTTGTTATTCAAGATCTGCTAAAGGCGTATAATTGAATGCAATTGAAACACTTTTGAAATTTATCTCAAATATTTTCTAATGGTTATCCTTTCCACGAATGGAATCAATGCGTCGATGTTTCAAACTTTCTATCGATTTTCTCACTCTAATAAAATTCGAATACACCCAATGCACCGAACTATCTTCAAAAGCATTCATTGAAGTAAATATATGCTCTCAGGAGAACTTGCTCTCAAAAATCGCTTGAAAAATGATCAAATTAACCTACTTCACACTCGTTGCTGTTGGAGAGTAAAAATGGGGGGCCACCCCGGGTTTTACCCCGCGTCTTTCGCGTATTGATATTGGTATCAAGCCAACTAAT